ATAATTCCATCATTACCCTCATAACAAACGGAAGAAGCATAACCGTATGTACGGGCATACAAAGATGCACTCGTCTCCTGGTTGTAGGGCTTTTTCTTCCAAGACACGTTTTCTTTGTATTGAGGAAGAGGCAAATGTAATTTGAGACCCTATAAGACATCTTTGTTATCACACGTGATAATAACATCATCATGATGCCACTATCAGTATATAAATCCAGCAGATACCTTCTGCTTGTATCAAAAGTTCCAACGCGAAAGAAAAACTTAAAGTGATTGATGGCGTCTATGTCTTCCTCGCAAACCTCACGTGGATGATAAGGTAAAACTAAGGTTTCCGCTTTCTGTTCCAAAAGACCTATTCAGCTCCGTCTTTGAACTGTATACGTAGATGCTTTGGTTCTTTTGAATTGTCTCAAAGCTAACTTGGAAATCTTCTCTTGGTAATCCACATTGAGAAAGAAATGCGAGATGTTTTGCGTTCCCAATCACTTTGACTTCAATTAACCTGTTGTTGTTGCCGTCATTTGCACCATAGCTCCGTTTGCAGAACAAAATTTTATCTAGACAAAAAAAATTATCGCCTTGATTGTGACCTGGCTGTTTGTCATCCTCATCGTAGATATTTGACATTGGACCACCAAAAAATTCTATATCGATCTTGTCATCTTTGTAGCAGTCTTCCTCTTCACGACCTCGATCTGGGGGTTCATAATTGATCCGCCAATTACGATTTGCAAGGTGATTACAAGTAACCTGGTTTCTCGTATCCATATACGCATCGTCATTCGGCATTACAATGTTGTTGATCACCTGAACACAATTTTTTGGTCCAAGTTTGATAGAATCCATCTCTTGAATGTCTATGAAATTGATGTAGTGTTCCTCGACCAAGACATCAAAGGTTGGATATGCCTCAACGAAGTCATCAAATATCGGATCATCATTCTCGTACACATCAAAAATTGGATCTTCGATAATATCTTTAAATTTTTGGCCATAAACATCATAGATAGGTTCATCAACGATGTCTTTGTCACGATCAAACTCCTCTAGTTCACAACATTGCTGAATCAATTTACGAGTTGAAACCTGGAATTTCTCCAGCATGGCAAAGAAGGTCTGACAAAGCTCTGCCCATTCGTCAATACGGCTTTCCTTAGCTTGGAAGTTGCAGAGATGTTTCGATGACATGATTGGTATAGAATCAATTGACAGAATCGTTTATCTCTGATACCAACTGATGGAGCAGCGGAAGCTAATTAACGAGATCAAAACGAGCACTCCTGGAGAACTCGAAACAAACTCGGATCTTGGCTTAATCGAATAAGATCGATAAGTCAATAGGTTAAGAGTACTCTTCTTAGTGCTTAAAAACTCTTTGATTAATCAAAGGTTCAAATTCAAGGATGATCTTTACAAAGCCAAAGATCCCTTATTTATACTAAAAGAACGAGATACGCTTGTATCTTTCTAATCCTAATCTCTTAAAGAGTTGTACTTATTTTAAAATTAAAAGAAAATCAAAACAAAAGCCTAAATAGACGAAACTTGCATAACAAGTAAAAGTCTTTAACGAGCTTAATGAATCGTTGTTGAGGATGCGCTGCATCACCTCTGCATCACCCTCTTTACTACTCTATTTTTCAGCCTTTTCGTCAACTTTTTTTGGAGTGACCTTGTTCAATATTTGTTTCGCACTATTTGTAAGCAGTATCAACATATTTTAGTCCTCGATGGTGAACATGTTGTTGATATTCTGTTGCTTGAAGCCAACCTCTATGCATGGAAGGATTTAATCTTGTTATAATTTATGGGGGCAGGGCATCCCCTTCATACTAAAATAGTTGATAAGATATGGACCCATGATTGTTCAATCTCGATTCATACCTCGTTTCTTTTTTACAGTTACTTATGTCAACTTCAGAAACCACCATATGCGATCGAAAAAAACACAAGCCTGTACTATGCATGCCATTTTGGGTGGACATGATTGCTGTCTTTTACTCTCTTTTCTCTGATCCCTATAAAATGTTGTAGACACAGCTAATTTAGTTCTGGACATGACTATGATATATATAACCAATTTTGAAGAGTGTATTTTCTCATATTATTTTATATAGAGTTTAGAAAATTATATAGATACGAATATGTAAAACTAACATCAAAATTTCTCTTTATTTCACAAAACTCACCAACTTCTGAAAATCATACTTTTTCTTTTTGATAACCAAAAACTAATTTGAACTTTCACCATCCGATTAATATATTCTAAAAATGAGTATAGCCGCCGAAAACTCAATAAATATTATTCATTTGAAACTACATTCCAAATCAATCATTCTTATTTTATTACGGGATTTTACGCATACAACACACTCTAGTGAACTGATGCATGTTATTTCTAGTTTTGGTCGTCGTCTAGTTGCAGCTCCAGTTTCTGGGCCTTGGCCCATATTATGTGCTGACAACTCTATCTTTTTCGTTGTCACATGAACCAAGAAGCTTGGAGAGCGATGCTTTGACCACTTACCAAGATAAGTAATAAATTTCAATAGTAGCAGTAATAAACTATTTTCTCCATGTGAAACTACTTCAGAGATGATGCTTTAACCACTTACCAAGATAAGTAAATTTCAATGATGCTTCTTCTTTCTGTTAAAGACGTGAAACTATCTTCAACGAACACGTATAACGAAAGCTGGCATGATATATGAGTATGAAGCACACATTCTCAAGCAAATTGTGTGTCTTACAAGTAAACATGTACGTACGTCTGCTATAGTACTTAAAATACTCATCCTACTACAATATATGAGATATATGTGTTACTGTGTACTCTAATGAAAAATGCTTTTGATGTGTTTAATATATTTGGTTTACAGACTTATTATGGTCGATGTTAATTATTCAAATCTTTTCTCCATTATCTATACCGATTTAATTAGCCAAAACTCAACATATGTTAAAAACAATGTACTCTTCAACAACGCATGTTTAATGTCAATCCGAAGATTCGCTGTTCGAAACACACACTCTCGTGCTGTCGTGCATATATATAGTCAGCCTGACTAATTTTATTAGTGAGTACAATAAAAATAGAGAATCTCATAAAAAGACATAAGAGAAATCTAATACATAATATCCTTGAAACCAAAAGAATTCATAACCAAATGTTAACTCTAACCCATAGGAAGAAGATTACTGAGACATATTGTATCAAATCATAGGCAAATATATGAACATAAGCAAAAGAGACAAAAATAAGATTTACAAAAATAAAAGTTCTATGTGTGGAGTGACGCGAGTCCAACATGTCAATATCCAGATCTCTCTAGCTAGCTTCAAACTCTTTGTTTTAAAATTTAAAATACTAAGACAGAGATAGAAGTATGCTTCTTTTTCCATGAAACTTAAGTGTAAAAGTGAAATAGTATGAAAATGAGCCTAAACAAAAGATTTTTAAAAAAAGATATTATGAAGATATGAGATAATCTTTTTACATATTTATAAAGTATAGCAAAAATTTTAGAAATAATAAGAATCTAATTACATTTTTCTGCCAAGCATATTCAAAAATTTCACCAACAAAAGATGTGATATAACTTTTTTTTTTTCTTACACTAATTCAGATATGGGACAAAACCATATTCTTTCTAAGAAATGAGATAATTTTTTTACATATTTATAAATTATAGTATAAATTTTAGAAAAAATAAGAATCTAGTAACATTTTTTTTGCCAAGCATATTCTTTTTTTTTTTTTTGAATTAAAATGTTAAATTAATCTAAAAACCGTTTGCTACAATAATATGCATCTGTCTCAGAAAACGGAGATTAAAAGATTTAGCTAATATACATCAACAGCTTTTCATTGGAATGAAAACCAGATCTCCATCCCCTTCTCGTAGGCATGGTCGCCTAAGCGTCTGATCGTTGTAAGTCTGTTGCGGATTTGCTTGTCTATCAGGCGTGTTAGATGAAAGGGAGGAGTAAGAGGATCACCGTGTTTCCTGCCATTTAGCTCTCTCCATATCAAGCATATTCAAAAATTTCACCAACAAATAATGTGATATAACTTTTCTTACACTAATTCAGATATGGAACAAAACAACTTTTGCTATAACCCATTTACATCTTTAGAAACTCACAATAGATAAGTGATAAACATCAGTTAAGTGGTGTGTCATATACTCAGATAACTTGCAACTTTCTGGTTACATTTTGAAAACCGAAATGACACTGGAATTTAGGGGTGGGCAAAATATCCGTTACATCCGCTTCGAACCGGTATTTGCTTCGATCCGATTTGAAAAATCCGGATATTCGTAAAGCTTCACAGCAAAGCAAATAGCAAAATATAGTATCTGTACAAAACGGAGCAAATCACAAATATGTTTTTAGACAACGTCGGATATCCGATCCGATCCGTATCTTTATAAATTTATTATATATTAGTATATATTATCATGTATATATCAATTATATTATAATTTTTTATTAATATACTCTCGATTTTCTTCCTAAATTTTTAATTTTTCTAAATTCTTTTGATTATATAAAATAAATGACTAAATAACCAATTATAAAAATAAATAATATGTTTAAACTTAAAATATGTTAATAAATAATATTTTATTTGATATTAGTTAATAAATATCAACAAAGGTTTTTTTAGTAAAGTTTAATATTAAAGTTTCAAATACTTATTATTATTTTTAAATATAAAATATTATTTTTTCCTCATCTTAATTTTGTAGGTTTATTTTTTATAGATTTTTTATAAGATAAAATATTTTCTTTTAGTTATTTTTACTTAATAGTTTAGATGAAAAATATATTTTTTTATAATAAAAATTGATGTACTTTCAGTTTTGCGTATATTAAACGGATCAAACTAAATATTTATAAATATCCGTAAATATCCACAAATATCCGCAAATACTTGTAAATTTTCCGGATATCCTAAAATCCGGATATCCGTATATTTTCGGAGCACATCAAATCATAAAATTAAATATCCATTAAAAACGGAGCAAACCACAAATACTTAAAAATTTCTAGATAACCGATCCATGCCCACCCCTACTGGAACTACTAATAAAACCAAATCTAATAATTGACCATATCAATCACTAACAGTGGTCCAATTTTCTCATCTCACATCACATCAAAACATTTAATACCCTTTTGCTTCCAAATTTCTTTCTCAAAATTTTACTTACATCTTTACACTGCCCAATAACCAACATTTAAGTGCTCTCTTTTTAGGCTTTTGATGAAACTTTTGTATTCTTCTCCTTTTCTCATACCACCTTTCCAGATTTACAAATTCAAATGGAGAAAAGTAGCCTGCCACAAAAACATACAATAAAGGTTCTTTTTCCATTTCAATTTTTTTTTCAAAAACCCGCCATAAGAAACTTGATTAGAGCTCCTCATGAACAGCTTGAAGGCACTTTTGATTCGATTATAACCCGAGCTCCTGAAGCAAGCCTGTTCAAAGATACTTAAAGGTTTTAGATAAGTCTATATTGATTCACAAGATACTAATGCTGAGTTTCTAAAGAGCCATGAAATGAAAACATCAAGATGTTAAAGTTTTTACCTTTCATCGATCTTGATCACCTTCTCTTCGTCTTCTCTGAAAGAATCCGGTTTCCTCAAAGATTCTGTTATTCTTTTACTGCACACATCAGGTGTTTCAGTAACTTTTGATGAGTCTGAGACAGGAGATCTCGTGGACTCGCTACGTGGTTGTTTCTTGCTTATTGTACAAGAAGTCTTTCTCGTGCGTGGGATGTGTTTCGAACCACCAGGTTTTGAATCAACGGTCTCTGGTATACCCATTTGGTTCGATGCCCTGAAAAACTCATATGGTTTTTTTTTCTGTAAGTTGAAGAATGAATCCACAAGATTTCACAGATATGAAACGACTCAAATCAAGAACCTTTCCTATAACCCAAACAACAGAAAGAAGATGGCAAACAATTTCAAGGCAGATACTCTTTGGTTTTGCCTTCTCTCTTTGGTTCTAAGAGGAGTTTCTATTTATGGATTCCATTAAGTTGAAGAGTGTTTTCCTCAAGAATTCACGGAGATGAAGTTTACTACTCAAATCAAGAACCTTTCCTATAACCCAAACAACACAAAGAAGATGGCATACAATTTGAAGGCAAGAGACTCTTTGGTTTCGCCTTCTCTCTTTGGTTCTAAGAGCAGTTTCTATTTATGGATTCCACTAATTTAACAATTTTTTATAAAACAAGAACTGTCTTAACTCTTAACATCAAAACATAACACATCATTCAATTAAAACACAAGCAGAACCATTTTTTTCCAGGTGATTCAGAAATTTACCTGTCACCATTGTAAGACGAAGAACGCTTAAGAGAAGCATTACCATCAGCAGCATCCTTCTTCTGTAGCTTTGTCTCGACCAGGCTCCCACTGAAATACTCTTTCTCCTCCAACCTCAAGCTCATTACACTCGGAGTTTCAGACAAACGGTCAAGATCTCCCAACATAAATGACGAGGAGAAAAACGGAGATGGAAACTTGGAGTGTCCGAATTTCGGTTTGTAGGTCGGTACAAGGCCGAAACTGTTATCTTTCACTGATATTGAGCCACAAGATATCAGCTGCATCAGCATATTCGAGGCCCTAAGCCTCGGATTAGCAGGCATTCGAACATCTTCTTGCTCCAGAATCCTAAAACTATTCATCTTGCTGACATCAGCTCTTATAAGAGACTCCAAAGTATCTGTCTTTGCTCCAAGCGAAGAGGCGCTGTTTGAAAACGGCGGAGATACAGAGTTTCTTGATATCTCAGCGCTCTCGCTCTCCCTCTCCTTCCCCGCAGAGCAAGAAGCATTGTTTTCGCTTGATTCGGGCTCTGATGAGCCGTCGTCATCAGTTGAAACACCTCTGCTAAAGGTCTCTACAGGTGTTTTGGAACAACCGGTAACAGTTTCATCGGTTTGCGTAGAGGCATCAGCGAGTCCCTCGCGGTTATACACTTTGTACTCAGCTAAACACCAAGAAGATGAGTTCTTGGCGTCTCTTGAATCAGGAGATACACCAGAGGAAGAAACAGAGCGAAGAGCTGGAGGAGAAAGCTCGTCGTCTTCTTGAGAATGCTTATTAGTCTCTTTCCCATTGTTCATACTCGAAGAAGACGACGAATCATCCATGCTTCTTGATGATGGTGGCTCCACAACTATCTGCTTCATGTTTTGTGTCGCTGAATTCGCAATTGGACTAAAATGATCTGCAACAACACAAATCTTACTGAAGATTTCTTCTTTGAAAAAGAAAAAAAACCAATGATTAAAAAGAAGTGTTTTTTCTTTTCACCTTCATCAAAGAGCTCAGAACCTTTAAGAACATACTCATTCCCATGAGCCGGTAGAATTAAGTCATCTTCAGATAAATCATGCCAAACAAAACCATTCCTATAGCTTCTGCAGATTCAATCAAGAAAAAATTGAAATATCGGAGACCTTTCTTGATTCTTGATTTCAGGAGTATGCGAAAATCAAAGAAAGTTCATACCTTTTACTAGACCAAGAATACATTGAAGCCATGCCTCTACCTCTAAGAACATTAAGCCTCTCTATAACATCTGCAAACACACATACACAAAAAAGATTCTTTCAAAATTCCCAATTTTTAAATCTCCCAAAGCATTATGATTTTTTGTTACCTCTAAGGTATAAACCGTTTGGAGAAGAAACCAAGACTTCCATGAAATGAGGATGCTCGAGTTGACGATTCTTGGAGAGGTAATAAACAATTTGGACTTTCTTAATCTTCTGATGATACTTTGGTGATTTCTCTGTCCAGACTTTTGCTCTCTCTGGACTCACTTCTTCTCTGTATTTCTTCATCCTCGCTTCCATTTTCGTCTTTCTCAAAGACCCAATATTTAAAAAACCCTAATTGGCTAATTCCGGCATTCTCTGTTTGGATCCTCAATTTGAATCAGATCTGTCTTACTGGAGGAAGAAGGAGAAAGAGGGAAAGAACACAGATTGCTTATTTACTAGCTTAAGGATGAAGACGAGCGAGAGAATCTGACCAATGTAAGAGAGAGAGAGAGAGAGATGAATGAATTTTTGGGAGCAGTGGAGATTAATGGAGAGACAGAGAGACGACAGTAACAGTAAGGGAGAGAAGAGAGAGAGAGAAAGAGATTAAGCCTTTAGTGCCTTTTACCTTATTTTTCAGACAGCTCTTCTTGTTTTGTTTTGTAACGAGGGGGAAAAAAATCACTGAATATCACTGTGATTTTTATTCGCTCATGTCTTCTTCTTCTTTTGTCAATATTCATTCAATCTAATTCAAGCAACAATTCTTCTTTGGTTTCTTTGAGTGTAATTGGAATATAATTTTAACTCAGCTTTTTGGTTAGTTAAGCAGAAAGAAAAAGCTATTAAAATATAATTAGAAGTATAATTAAAGTTGGAGTTTGAATTAGAATTGAAATATTTATTGGCAGTTGAATTTATAAATATTTGCTTGATTTTAAAAATTAAAATAGAATTGTAAAGAATTTTATTAGATTTATAGAGAGTTCGTACATTTTAAAAAATCTATAAAAATATTTTTATGTGATTGATTTTGAGAATCTTAAGAAGATAACTAGTATTTTGAAAGTTTTGTTTTATATGTTAATTTATTTAAAATTAATGATCAAATAACAAAATATTTTAATATAATGATAAAATCTTTAAAATTCAATTTTTTTAAATAACAATAGATTGTATATGTATTTTTAACAATCATAAAACTAATAATACTGAATTTTAGTAAGAATGTTAAAATCTATTAACCAATATAACGGATTTGAAAAATTATAACAATCTTTTAAAATTCATGTCCCAGTAATCTTTTTAGTAAAGCCAACATTGTTTGCTTACACTAAAGTATGTAATTCTAAAACTTTCATATATATATATATATATATATATATTTGTATGGGCATAAAATTGAAGTGGTGGTAATTTTCAAATAAACAGAAACTAGTGGTATTTTTGCAAACCGAAAACCAAACTACACCGAAATAAGATTTGATTTTAGCGCAGACTTCTTCCCTCCAAAGTCCAAACCAGAAAATCAAAATCCAAAAAGAAACCAGGACTAAAACTAACCGAAAATTTGAAAAGTTAATTAGAAGTAACTATATTTATTGTCATATGAGGACTATTAATGGGATCGGTAAGCCATAATAAATGATAAGCAACTGTTTTCAACTAGAAAAACGACCAAGTTAGTCAACTATGACCACTTTAAAGCAATAATCTCTTTTCTGAATTTGTGGATAGATATTTATAAGAAATTTTCATTTTGCATCTTCTTTGAGGAACAAATAAATAATATGGCTAAATGCAAGCGTTAACTTGCAATTTAAGAAAAGCTTAAAGCGATTACATATGCTTTCTCTTTCTTTGTTGGAAAGCTGAAATGGAATAAAAACTCGTGCATGAAGATGTCTTCTTGTTAGATTTACGTGCATGCTTTTGTTTCTTAATCATATGGTATAAAATAATAAAATAAAATACAAATATATCAAACCAATTATGCATCTAATAATTGAATTGGACTCAAATATAGTAAATATTGTAACTTATTTATTAACCAAGCAAAAATAATACTGATACTGATTTTTTTTCTTGAAAGTATCATTGTAATAAAACGGGTTTAAAATACCCTCAAAACAAGTTCCATTTAGGCCAAAGCGAACAACTTTTTCTTGCTCTTTATTATTGACGCTCGTTACCATTTTAGGCCTACATACACCCACTCGATTTTGCAAGATGACCCAACTTTATACAACTCAAACTCATCAACTTCTTAGTCATTCATTTCTGAAGAATTTGATTTGTCTGTTGTAGAAGGTAGTGATGGAAAATTTATTGTCTTTAGGTTCATATATAAACAAAAGAACGTACGTAATCAAACAAAGATCGTTGATTTCATTATATCAAAGTTCTTAATTTTGCCATGGTTGTGTCTAGCAAAAGAATCAACAACAAAATAATATGAAAGAATAGAAAAAAGCAATGGTGTAACTAGGCACGGTATTTTTAACCAAATCTTGGAGACATGATCTGAAATGCTCTCCTCTCTCAAAATATAATCTCATATATCCCTCAATAATCTATACCCCTTATTTAAGTGAATTATCCATTTTGCCCTTAATGAATTAATCAGAAAATTGACTTTTTTTTAAAAAAAAAAATCTCACTCCACTCCACTCTCTCTCCCCCACTCGACCTCGCTCTCCCCTCCTCCATTGTTACCGTCCCCGATCTGGTTTTTCCGAGCTCGTTCTTCCGCCGTCGTCGTTCATCCACCCTCGCCGTTCTAGAGTCCTCCATCAACGTCGTCGCCGTTCTGGAGCTCTTCATCGACGCCATCGACTGCATTTTCTAAATTGAGATAAATATTGATTTGAAAATCAAATGCTCAAATGCTTTTGATATAGTGTGTTTTACCATGATTTAGATTGATTAGAACTATAAATTTGTAATAAATAGTCTGTATTGGTTGAATTGAGTTGAATTGTATTGAATGGTAGATTATAATGAATTGAACACAAAATCATCCAATTTAAACTAGTTAGTAGTATCACTGATTAGTAAAATAATAAAATAAAATACAAATATATCAAACCAATTATGCATCTAATAATTGAATTGGACTCAAATATAGTAAATATTGTAACTTATTTATTAACCAAACAAAAATAATACTGACACTGATTTTTTTTCTTGAAAGTGTCATTGTAATAAAACGGGTTTAAAATACCCTCAAAACAAGTTCCATTTGGGCCAAAGCGAACAACTTTTTCTTGCTCTTTATTATTGACGCTCGTTACCATTTTAGGTCCACACCCACCCACTCGATTTTGCAAGATGACCCAACTTTATACAACTCAAACTCATCAACTTCTTAGTCATTCATTTCTGAAGAATTTGATTTGTCTGTTGTAGAAGGTAGTGATGGAAAATTTATTGTCTTTAGGTTCATATATAAACAAAAGAACGTACGTAATCAAACAAAGATTGTTGATTTCATTATATCAAAGTTCTTAATTTTGCCATGGTTGTGTCTAGCAAAAGAATCAACAACAAAATAATATGAAAGAATAGAAAAAAGCAATGGTGTAACTAGGCACGATATTTTTAACCAAATCTTGGAGACATGATCTGAAATGCTCTCCTCTCTCAAAATATAATCTCATATATCCCTCAATAATCTATACCCCTTATTTAAGTGAACTATCCATTTTACCCTTAATGAATTAATCAGAAAATTGACTTTTAAAAAAAAAACAAATTTCTCACTCCACTCCACTCTCTCTCCCCCACCCGACCTCGCTCTCCCCTCCTCCATTGTTACTGTCCACGATCTGGTTTTTCCGAGCTCGTTCTTCCGCCGTCGTCGTTCATCCACCCTCGCCGTTCTAGAGTCCTCCATCAACGTCGTCGCCATTCTGGAGCTCTTCATCGACGCCATCGACTGCATTTTCTAAATTGAGATAAATATTTTTTTAAAAGATTTGAAAATCAAATGCTCAAATGCTTTGGATATAGTGTGTTTTACCATGATTTAGGTTGATTAGAACTATAAATTTGTAATAAATAGTCTGTATTGGTTGAATTAAGTTGAATTGTATTGAATGGTAGATTATAATGAATTGAACACAAAATCATCCAATTTGAGTTCCTGCGAAATACAACTGGGTAGAATTAGTATTACAATGTAGAACATAGTACAACTGGGTATTACTGATGGTATAACTGTGGCAAACTAGTTAGTAGTATCACTGATTAGTAAAGTATAACTTGGTAGAATTGGTTATTACTGATGGTATAACTGTGGATAACTAGTCACTATTATCACTGATTAATAAAGTATAACTTGGTACAACTGGGTATTACTGATGGTATAACTGTGATAAACTAGTTAGTAGTATCACAGATTAGTAAAGTATAACTTGGTAGAACTGGTTATTACTGATGGTATAACTGTAGAAGGTAGTGATGGAAAATTTATTGTCTTTAGGTTCATATATAAAGAAAAGAACGTACGTAATCAAACAAAGATCGTTGATTTCATTATATCAAAGTTCTTGATTTTGCCATAGTTGTGTCTAGCAAAAGAACCAACAACAAAACAATATGAAAGAATAGAAAAAAAGCAATGGTGTAACTAAGCACAATATTTTTAACCAAATCTTGGAGACATGATCTGAAATGCTCTCCTCTCTCAAAATATAATCTCTTATATTCCTCAATAATCTATACCCCTCATTTAAGTGAACTAACCATTTTGCCCTTAATGAATTAATCAGAAAAATTGATTTTTTTTAAAAAGAAATCTCACTCCACTCCACTCTCTCTCCCCCACTCGACCTCGCTCTCCCCTCCTCCATTGTTACCGTCCCCGATCTGGTTTTTCCGAGCTCATTCTTCCGCCGTCGTCGTTCTTCCACCGTCGCCGTTCTGGAGTCCTCCATCAACGCCGTCGCCATTCTGGAGCTCTTCATCGAGGCCATCGACTGCATTTTCTAAATTGGGGTAAATATTTTTTTAAAAGATTTGAAAATCAAATACTCAAATGCTTTGGATATAGTGTGTTTTACCATGATTTAGGTTGATTAGGAATATAAATTGTAATAAATAGTCTGTATTGGTTGAATTGATTTGAATTGTATTGAATGGTAGATTATAATGAATTGAACATAAAATCATCCAATTTGAGTTCCTTTGAAATACAACTGGGTAGAATTAGTATTACAATGTAGAACATAGTACAACTGGGTATTACTGATGGTATAACTGTGGCAAACTAGTTAGTAGTATCACTGATTAGTAAAGTATAACTTGGTAGAAATGGTTATTACTGATGGTATAACTGTGGATAACTAGTCACTATTATTACTGATTAATAAAGTATAACTTGGTACAACTGAGTATTACTGATGGTATAACTGTGACAAACTAGTTAGTAGTATCACTGATTAGTAAAGTATAACTTGGTACAACTGGATATTACTTGTTGTATAATTGTGGATAACTAGTATTACTATCAGTGATTAATAAAAGATAATTTGGTACAGCTGGGTATTACTGATTGTATAACTATGGATATCTAGTATTACTGATTGAGTCTTTGTATTGTTTTGGCAGGATATAATGAGCAACAACATCATCATACAT